AATGACCTTTTCTTTTTCTTTTAGCTTAATTCCCTAAATAAGGAAAACCTTCGACAACGACATTTGCTGGACAGAGAATCGGCCATGAGGAAGGTAACTAAGACATTAATTACAATTCAAAAGTCACTTGTGCTAAAGGCGTTTTTAAACCAAATGGTGTTAAAGCACTTCTTCTTTTTCCATTCACTACTTTTTCTCTGTGATGTTGTTTTGGTTCTGGGTAAAACGTTAGGTAACTGTACTTTATAATATAAAAACATACTGTGTTGAAACAGCGTGAACCGCTGAATACGTTTTACGCTTGAGTAAAAAAGCCATATATTGTGACTGCGAAACCCTTATGTAAAACCCTTATGTAACCCTTATGAAACCTTTATGTTGTCAAGAGCAACTGCAACTGGGATTTGTGACTTTGTTAGAAAGTATCTCCATCTGCAAAAGTATTTCAAACGACTTGGGTCACACATTTATGCCGTTTTCCTTGATAACATTAGGGTTTTAATGTCAAAATATTGTGCTTCAAACCAGTGGCTTTCTCACTCAAGCGATTAGCGTAATATACGTCTTTAACTATTACGAGAATGTTGTTATGTCGGAGTGGCTGCTTTCACATTGCCTAACCACTCGTACTCTGTCCCTATATGGAGTGTCCTGGATCTAAGGGTGATTTGATCATCTTCAAAAGATCTTTATATGACCATTATGCTGTAAATGTCGGCAATGATGAGATMGTACATCTTGCTTYTATCGTCRATASCCCACGTAGCGSCGACATCGTCGATGGTTCACMATTATTATGCTSTGCAAATTTTAAAATGACAATAATTAAGAAAGAAAAGTTCAAAGACTTTTGCAAACCAGGAGATGTAGCAGAATTTGAAAGCCTCCCGACGTCTTTTTCAAGTGATGAAATTGTCGAAAGAGCTTTGTCTAAAGTTGACCAAGAAGGATATAATATACTCTGGAAGAACTGCGAGCATTTTGCGCGCTGGTGTCGCTATGGAGAGGAGGAAAGCGACACACTGGTAGAGGCTGTAATAAAGGCTGTCTGTTGTGTGGCTGTTCTCGCTCTCTGAGGGAATGTGACCTTTCATTTTGAAGGTTCGTCTACAACAGAATCGCAACAAGAAGAGAAAGACAAAAAAGACAATAATGTTTGCAAACTATGACGAAATGGTAGTCTTTGCCCGAACTACTCGTCCCTGTCAACACATTTTGTGCTAACTTCATAACTTTTCGGCAAGTTTCTTTATTCAAGCAACCAATATTTTTCTGATTGGCACCTGTATCACGGAGGCTGATGGTTGAAACAGACATTTTACGAATAGTTTATTAATGGTACACATAACTATAAACACACGTCACTTTATCAGTATAGCATATTTGTATTGACTTTGAAAATGCACGCATCACGGCTCGACAGGGCCACGGAATGAGAAGAATCGAGAGTACATCACCGTCACGGCTCCAGTACGCTCAATTCGCGTGCGTGCTGTGTGTTTTGCGCAGTCATACGTCTATCTGTTAGATTCGTACGCCAAGGCTAGTGAAATGACGATAAGATTTCCTTTCTATTTAGCTATTTCATTTTCTTCATCTCACTTTCCACTCCCATTTCTTCTATCCCATTCTAATCTCCTTCCTTCCTAGTTCTTCCCTCTTACCCTTTTTCCGTCTTCCTTCATACATTCCGTGTCTTCGTCTCTCTGAGGTAACTTGATATTTTTTATTCTTCCTTTCATTATGTTGCTCACTCCTCCCATCCATATTTACTCCACTCTAATTTCAGTCATTCATTTCTTTGATGCCTTTCTTGTCTTACAGTCTTCTGTAATTTTCAGTGGAGGGAAGAGTTATATTAGTTTATATTTATACCACCAATAGCCCTCCCCTCCCCTATTACTTTTTTGATGACCCACCAGGCCCAAACACGTGTTATTAGGAATTTCCAAGAATCAAAATGGCTTCTTACGCTTTGCCGTACGAGTCTTGGTGTCCAGGATCGAAAGGTGATTTAATCGTCTTCAAAAGACCAGCTAGATATGACCATTATGCTGTAAATGTCGGCAATGGCTACATTGTACATCGTACAGCTATCGATGACTCAAATAGCGTCGACGTCTTGGATGGTTTACGCATCGCATCCAGTGCAAATTCTGGCGTAGCAATCATTAAAAAAGAAATGTTCAAAGACGTTTGGAAACCAGGAGATGAAGTAAWAGTTGAAAGCAGACAAACTACGCTTTCTTGTGAAGAAATTGTGCGGAGAGCTTTGTCTAAGATTGGCCAAATTGGATACAATCTACTGTGGGAGAACTGCGAGCATTTTGCGCGCTGGTGTCGCTATGGCGAGGAGAAAAGCGAACAAGCTGACGCGTTGAAAGTTGCTGCCGGTGTTGCTGTCGGTGCTGGAGTTCTCGCTGGAGCTGCAGTACTATATAAAGCTTTATCAAATTCCCCTTCAAAAGAAAAAAATCCTCGACATTAAACTTTAACGTTTACCAATTATGAACGGAATGCTGATYTTTGCCCGAACTGTGCGTCCTCGTCAACAAACTCTGTGTTAACTTTGATCATTATAAGTATTCAGCAAGTTTTCTTGTTCAAGCAGTATTTTAACGTTTGCAAAGTGTGAATAAAATAGTGATATTTTCCCTAACTGTGCGTTAT